TATTTTATTTGTTTCTTGTTCCTGCTGTATCACTGGAATTCATGAATTGTAATCCTTACATCAATCCGATGGCAGGTGATTTTCTGAAGCTTTGAATCGATTTTCCTGTTTTCTGAATGTTGTATTGTGTTTTTGTTTCCAATCCTGATGATTCGATTCGTTCTGCCGGTTTGTGTTTGGTTTTGAAACTCGTTTCTAAGATTTCTGGCATTTTTTAGAATTCACACCTTAAATTTTAACCATAAGAACATATAGAATCTTGCAACTGCTTTCGATTTCCATGGTTCCATGCGTTTTTACTTCTTTATGTTGTGATTTCAAACTTGTCTCATTTTGTAGAATTCATAACTTAAATTCACATAGAAGCGTCTAATTGCGGTAGTTATTAATTTCATTGTAGGTTAAAGGTTGCAGTAGAGTGGTCATGGATCGGCTCAGTGCTTCTGCATGTCATATGATAGTTTCTGATCTTGATCATACAATGGTAGGTTTCATAATTTCTTGCTTCGCTCCGAAGTGATCTCGTGCTTGTATTGCTATTAGTTACTTTAATTGGACATGGTGCTCTTTCTCCAGGTTGATCAGCATGATGTTGAGAATGTATCCCTACTCTGCTGCTACATATAATGCCCAGGTGGAAATAAAAAGTCCCTGGTAGTTTGGAGTGTTGGCTGATGGATTAACTTGAGTATAGGTATAGATAGAAGTATATAGCTTTTATTTTGAAAATTAGGGAAGCAAATTTATTCTAAAATAATAAACTGATAAGTGAAGAAAACTTTAAGTTTAAATGCCTGACCAAAATGTACTTTATGTAGCTGTACTTAGAACCAGTACTAGGACTAAGTTACATTTTAGATCTACTTTGACTGGAACCTATTGACATTTTTGCATCAACTTCTATTGATTTTCTCTGTCTAATGAATCTACTAAGAAATGCTGTTTCCACTTCTCATTTCTTGTTGGAATACTTTATCATCTAAGTTCAGAAAGAACCACCAATTTTAATTTCTTTTTTCTTCAGGATCCATCTGCTGTAACTGTCCATCCATCTGGTGTTGAGGAAATTCTACATGAACGCATACAGGAATTGAAAGAGGGGTATGGAGACAAGCAGGGAAAAAGGTTTCAGGTTTGGGTGGATCATGTATTATCTACACAGATTGGTTCAAGCACATGGTTGGTGAATTTCAATAAGTGGGAGCAGTGTGGTGAGATTTCTTTATATATTCTTCTATATCTGCTCAATCTTTGTGTCTTTTCAATTTAAACTAGATGTCATGTCCATGCTAATTTATTTACCTTTCTTGCATTCATCTCTTTGTGGATATCGTAGTAAATGTCTCTCCAATTTGGAAGACCAGTAATAGGAATTTGCATGTGAACATAGTTGCCTGTGAGCCCTCGATTTCCTTTTTAGTATATTTATATAGAGGCCAATCCACGGGAGTTTCTTTATCTGATAGATGCTGGTTTATAGCAGAAGATTGTTTTAAACCTTGTCAAAGACTTGGATGTCATAGCATTTCAAAAATCCCAAGACTACAATGCCAAGGGTTAACTTGTCATCCAAATGCTTCATTTTACATATTTTCCTTAAGGAAAAAAAAGGAAAACATTTTCAAATTCAGATGTTAGAACAGTTGGCTTTTCTACTTATATTCTTATGCTGACTTTTGTAGGTGACGTGCGGTGTTGTTGTCCAGCCAGTGGAAAGATCAGTGCTAATGTAAGAAAGCTAGAAAATTATTTGAAATGATAATTGATTTGTGGATTTTAGGAGGGCGATGCATGGTTCACATGGGTTCACTTGGATGCATGTACAATAGACGTGGCTGCAAGGATTGAAAATGGAAGACCATTAAGACTCGCTGTTCTAGATTGATATCAGATGCTATCCCTGACCTTTTCAGCTCTGGAGTATTCAATATTCAATTGAAGTAAATGTACTAATGATGTTAATATTTCATTTCTTATGCAAGGACCAAATCCTAAAGCTTTGTTTGGGTTGAAAGTATACACAAGTCCAATTATAGTTTACCACCAAAGAGTCCATCCAATTCAGTTAATAACTTGAATTTGAATAGGGATCATTAAGATAAAAGTGAGCTTTTCTAGTATTTGGGGATTCATGGATCAAAAACCAATCTGCATATATAACAAATTGTTTCAAAAGGGCTCACCAAATACCACATTCAACTGGTGTTCTTTTCTCTCTCTGCAGTAAAATGGAAAATAATCAAACTCAAAAATAAATCAAGCAACTAACTAGAAGAAAAATTATCACATCTACAAAATCAAGACACTAGATTTTTTAATGTGAAAAATCCTTAAGCAGAAGAATCATGGGATATAGTCTAGTAAAAAACATCCACTATAAAAATAGCATCATTACAAAGTTTCATTTACTCTAGGAAACACTAAAGGTTGTACACAACTATAAATCATCAAGAAAAAATTGTTGGATCACTAATGTCATGATCATCACCAAAATAAAGCTTGAAGTCAAAATCTCCAATCAAATTGGGAATCTCATTGTGCTGAGTGTGCGCCAAGAGGAATTGGAGACCAAATCACTATTGATCATCTAGCAGAACCATAACTCCTCTACTAACCTTCCTGCTGCTGTTGCAACTGACTCTCCATGTCTCTCTACTGTGTTTGCAGTGTTGATCAAGACCTGCCACCAGTCATTATTTAAAGCTCCACTGACTTGTTACATTCAAAGTCCAATCTCAAGCAGTTTATGTATGCGTTCATGAAGAGTTTTCTCAACTCCAGATGGATGGATACATACAACAGAAGAATCCTGAAGAAATAAGAAACTAAAATGGTTGGTTAACATAGTTCAGTTTGGCATAAATTAGCCTAATAATAAGTTCTCCTACAACTAATAACTTGGTTTAAAATTTTAAAATTTGCACATGTTAAAGGATAAAAATGTCACGATGCACCTTGAAATGGTTTGTGCATAATGCTGCCTTGAAGCTTCACTCCATCCACCTTTATATATATATCCTCGGATTGTCCTTAATTTTGGGAATTGATCAAGAGAAGTTATTAGAAAAATTCAAAGAAAATCCACGTCCTGCAAAAATGAATTAAAGCTTAGTAATATCTTGATGAAATGATAGAGAATCTCTCTGAACAACTGAGGGATGAGAAAGTGAATTCTGCTTTACCAGAGAGAGCATTCTTTAGAGGGTAGAATATTACAGCTTCAAGCCTACAACTATCACAGATTTGTGAACACCATTTTTAATCAAGTTGTTAGATCTTGATGAAGCTGCTTTCCAAGTCAGCCCATTGTTAAGTAAAGCAGCACTGTTTGTGTTGCAATCTTGGCTATGAGTTAGGATGAATAAAGAGAGAACACAACACACATTGTTGGATCATTCATTTCCGACTCATCATACTGGAAGCATCATCTCCCACATGAAAGGCAACAACAACGTCAAAGCATCCAGCACCTACTTGTTGAAGAAAGATCTTGCCTAAAAAGGGAGGCTTGAACTTGGAACCATGGATCAATCACCTTTTAACTAATCCTGTAGTTGACATGAAAAAGGTAAAGGGTTTAATCAGATGCCATAAGATTTAAGACATGAATTAAGATGGAAGTTACACTGTAGCAGGGAAGCAATCACTAAAATTATCGGAAATGTGAGATGCACAAGAAGATGGGACGGAGGCAAATAAGGGAACGTGTGGGAGACTAACTTCTTGATATCTACCTGATCTCCATGCATTGGAATCAAAATTAAGATAAGAAAAAAAGTTAAAAAATAGCTGGTAAAACAAATATAAGACAACAAAAATCAATTAGAATTGAAGTGAGCAAGCACATGACATTTCTATTTTTTCATCAGCATATGAAATTATTAAACGGGGTACAAGCAGTACCCCTACAATTTAGAGTATGCTCATAACTTCTGGGACATAAAAGGGAAAAGGGAGTCACAAAACAAAGGGGTCCTACAAAGGCCTAACAAGATTTTGCAATGTCCTCTACACAAGCAACTGGGAACATGAAAAAAGGATGGGAAATTAGGAAAATCAAAGGCAAAGACTGAAATTTGAGAAAATAATTTATTTAGAGTTTGACGAAGACAAAAGCATCAATTGTAACATAGAAAGGAAAGATGGATAAGTGAATTGTGTTGAAATGAAAACGAAGTAAAATAAAAACACAAAGCTATAGAAATCTATAAGATCTGGAAATAAAATAAAATAAAAACTGCAGAATAAATTACAGTAATTTAGACAGTCTTCAATGCAACCAATAGGTATTAATCAGGAGAAGGAAGCAACGGAAATGATCATTTAATTCTAAGGTAGCTAACATCATAGGTAGCAGAGGAATAGACTAGTAGATCATCAAAATGTATAACTTTGCTGAAGTAAACTTAAATATAGAGATAGCCTGATATATCAGTTTTGATTCCTTGTCCTAAACAACAACAATAGCAAGCCAAATAGGCATCACAATAAAATTTTAAAGAGGTAGTTTGGATATTTACTAGGTAAGTTCTGCTTTCCTAAATAAAAAACTCCAAAAACTGCAGCTTGGCTTAGTTAGATTACAAGCTTGCTTAATTCAGTAAAGATGATCCGCATTCCAATTCTAGCTTACAGAAAAATCTCATTTGAACATCAACAAATCCTAGTTTCAAAAGTCTTCCCTGCAGTAATTGAATTTAAAATTGAAATTGGTTGGCTTGCCTAAGAACATCATTTTGCAAGCAGCAAGCTCGTTGGTGGTTGTGAATTTCCATAATGCCAAGGCCAACCACTCATTCCCTTTCAAAATAATCTGAAAGCGTAAGCCATTTTTGAGGCAAGTGAATGCATGCATGTTTTCAGAGGAAAATAAATTTAAGGTGGATAATAAATAGTATATAATAATATAAAGTTGATTAATCCAGGGAATGAATGAAGTACCAGTAACATTGAGGAGTGGCTTGGCTTTGTTTACCTCATCAATTAGTTGTAGCTAGCTCACAAGAAAATACTCTGCACAAAAAGGATTTGCAACGCATATATATATATAAGAAAAGGCAGCACAAGTCAAAGAAAAGTGTTATCTATTTTAATTTTTCTAAATTCTCATATGAAAAGCATAAAATGGTGATGCCTGTTTCAGTTCACACCAAGCTCTTATTACCTCACACGCATACTCATGTATCAAAATGTCTGGGATGGCCCAGGTGAGAGTCCAATAGCCTCCTTTCTCCTCAAAGCGCTGTCGTTTTAGATGCGGACACCCGCTGATGTATAGTCGCCCAAGTGAGGGAGGGAAGGCTTCCCTTGGCAAAGATTGTAGCTTCGGCCAATTAGCTATCCGTAACACTTGAAGGGAGCTTAGGTTTTGGAAGAGCCCCCTAGGTATGGATTCCAAATTTTCTTCAGACTCCATCTGAAGCCAGGTTAAAGAAGAAGGCAGCACAATATCCTGAGACATCAAAGCCCCACCTGCGACTACTAGATGCTGAAGCGATGTGAGCTGGTACATTGTATTTGGCAGCCGCTTGAGATTCTTACACCACAATTGAAGCTCTATTAAGTTTGGGGGCAAACCCCCATCTGGAATGAACTCGACGCCACGGCACTTTTGCATCCATAGAATTTGAAGAGATTTCAGCTGATACATCGTATTTGGAAGCGATTTGAAATTCATACAGTTGAATATTTTCAAATCCTTCAGATTGGGGGTGCATAATCCCAACTCTTCTGGTAAGGACGCTAAAGCTTCACAGCGGTGAATAGATAATTCAACGAGATTGCTGACGCAATCAAGGGCGGGTAAACTTTTCAATATTTTACAGTCGTAAATACTAAGAGATTGGAGTCCTGTACAACGCTGCAGCATCCTTTCTGGAAATGATTCCAACGAGTCGCAGTATCTAACTCCAAATTTCTTGAGAAAAGCTGGTGGCTGATCACAATCCTCAGAAGAATACAAGCATGGAACATTTGCTACTTCCAAATGTAGATTGCAATTATTATTGTCACCATCAACATCTGGTAGAGACTCAAGACTTTCACAGCTTGTTATTTTCAAATGTTTAAGCGAGATGGGTAATTTGCCTCTTGGAAAAGACTTGAGAGAATGACAACAATCAATTTCCAACCTTTCCACTCTCAACATCAACATACTACTGTTGCTGCTACTGCTTTCATCCATCCTCATCATAATAGCATTGGGTAATGACTCCAAAGCTCCACATTCCCGAAGGGTAAGATGCTTAAGATTGAAAGGCAAGAGGTTTTGCTCTATTTCTGCCCCTTCCTCCCACAGACAAGCAAGATCCTCACAACTCTCAATATCCAGAGTCTCAAGTGTTGTCAAGGACTGTATTAAACTCTTTGGCAAGCAAGTCAGTTCTGAAATTCGCAGAATTTTAAATTTAGCGAGTGAAGTGAGATCAACCATACTCTTCAAAAGCATCGCCTGACAGTCAACAACATCCAACTCTTTAAGTGAAGAAAGGTTGCTAGGTAATTGGCCTAACAAGTTAGGGCAATAATCAATCACAAGCCTACGAAGACAAGGGAATTCACGTTCAGTTCCATTTGGAGAAGTCCATTCCTTCCAATTTTCCATGACTTCAAACACCAATTCCTCTAGTGATGGAAAACAGCCTTGTCCCCCATAAAACTCAGAACCTACTGCTTCTATTGCCTTCATCCCTTTAATAACCAAATTTTTGAGAACAAGTAGTCGGCCAAGTGAGGGTAACAAAGTGCATCTATCACAACAGCTAAGCTCCATGGATGATAAATTCAAAAATAATAATGGATCACAAACCCAGTTTGGGAAACTCCTGCCACCATAGTAAGAAATTTTGAGACTTTTCAAATTTGAATTAGGTTTTAACCAGCTGAGTACTGATTCATCTCGATCATTGTCAGGAGCAGTCCAACACCCCTCCAAGACTAACTCTTCCAAACCATGGATCTTGTCTAGATTGGCCTCCACAGCATCTTGAACATGCAAAACATTTTTCAGATCTAAAATAGACAGTCTTCCTCGAAGTTGTGACAAGTTCTTCAAAGCAGATAATCTCATCATCGTTCCACTTGCCTTCCCCACAATAAATTTGGACAATGTTACAAGATTTTTAAGATTGCCTATTCCTGATGGCATCTCCTCTAAAGATGGTGTATCAGAGATATCAAGATGAAGAAGATCAATCAGATTTCCAATCGTTGGAGGCAGCTCAGAAAGCTCTTCACAATCAGATAATAACAATGTTTGCAAGAAGACAAGAGAATCCATTGATTCAGGTAGACATTTGATTTTTGTACAAGACAAATCAATGTACCGAATATGTTTCAATTTTTCAACAAAATCTGGTAGCTTACTTATTTGATAGCTGCAAAGAGATAGCACTCTTAAGCGATTTAAAGTTGGTAGGAAATGATGCAAGATTTCGTCAGACAAAAAGGAGATCCTCCCATTGTCATTGAGTGCTCTTAGCGGCAAGAATGTTCTAAAATGCTTCAATTCATCCAAGAGTCTGAATCTTTCTGAGAATTCAAAGATGTGTGGAGTGAATGACAAATGACGAGCCTTCTCTAATTTTTCATCACCCATGCTACTTCCAAGATTGCAATATATTTTTCTAGCAACATCTACAGCTAAATCATTTATGAGGTCATGCATCACAAACCGCGATTTAACTCTGCTTGACAGTTGAAAGAGTGATCTTGATAACAACTCTTGGAAATATTGTTTACCAGCTTCCATTTGCTTCCTTCCATGTGGTTGTTGTTGTAATAGGCCCTCAGCCATCCATAATCGGACCAACTCCATTTCATCAAATTCATAGTCTTTAGGGAACAAAGCACAATAAGCAAAGCATCGCTTCAAGTAAGAAGGAAGATGATTATAGCTCAATCTTAAAGTAGGAAGAATTTCACTTCTATCTTCTGATGAATTCCATATATTACTATTATATATATTTTCCCACTCATCACTACGTAGTTTTCCCCGCAAGACACCACCAAGGGTTTTCAGTGCCAATGGCAATCTTTTGCACCTCTTAACAAGCTTCTCACCAACATCTTGTAGCTCTGGGTGTGTATCAAAGTTCTCTTCCCCCAATGCATGCTGTGTAAATAATGGCAAACAAACATCATCATGTAGCAATTCTAAATTGTAAACTCCATCATCTCCTCTCATCATCATCCCAACATACTGATTTCGAGTTGTGACAATTATTTTGCTTCCAAGAGCTCCTGACATGAAAGGTCTCTTCAAGACATCCCACTGGCCATATTCCTTATTCCAAACATCATCTAATACTAGAAGAAACTTGTGCCCAGATAACTTCCCTTTCAATTCCTCTTGAATCAAAGCAAAATTTTCAAAATCAGGCCTTTTCTTGGTTACATGTTCTAAAATGTTTCTTGTTATTCGAGCAACATCAAACTCATCAGAAACACAAACCCATGCCTTCAAGTCAAACTTGCCTTCCAATCTTTTGTCATTGTAGATGAGCCGAGCAAGAGTTGTCTTCCCTAGTCCACCCATTCCAACGATGGGAATAACAAAGTCTTGTTTGAGATTACCTCCATCTTCTAGCAACCTCTGAAGAATAGCTTCTTTATCACTTTCTCGACCCAACACGATGTCTTCAAGAAGAGAAGACTCAGGTAGTCTTTTTGCAGCTACTTTGTGAGAATTATCTTCAAGTTTCAAATCCAAATTGGCTAGGTCCAAACTACGCATCCCATCATGAATTTTCTGCAATCTAGCACTCAAAACATTCACCATGGAATCAAGCTTCGGAGTAGGCTTAGCTCTATATCCAAAAAAGACATTCATGATTTTTTGAAGCTTGCTGGGTCTGGCTTTAGATTCTGCACTCAATTTGGACCTCTTGGCATCAATCACAAACTCTTCAAGTATGTCATCCATATCATAAGCCAAGTCCTTGAGATCATCAAGATGTAACTTCACGAAATGGTTGGCAACTTGATTGTCTTCTGCATGTTGAAGTACAGCAGTGATTTTGGGCAATAGAATCTTCCAGTGTTCCATCTCGGGATGTACTTCCTCTTCTGAATTCCATAGCTGATCACTTAGATAATCTTTCAACTTTTCTGATAGCGTGTCATATATAGTAGATAAAAGAGAACTTCCAACAAAGGATAAAATATCCATTGGAAAAAACAAGTCTCCTGCAAAAGAGAGAGGAATGGATTGATGACACACATGTAAGTAGTGTGATCTATTGAATAGACACATACATTAGACTATCGTCAAATTAGTCTTTTATCCTAACGAGTAGATTTAATTATTTTCGCTTGTTGACATTGAAAATGACAATACTTATATAAAATATTAACAATTTATTACCAACAACCTAAGTAATTCAGTAATCATCTCCTTCTAATGGAAGTAAAAAGTCTTGAATTCGAGTCGCATGACATGTGAGTAGGGTGACATAAAAGATGAGAGATGATTAACTCCTACCGTGCAACTAAGATTAAAAAAAGAAATCTTAACAATTTATCAATTTTTAATAATTAAGATTTACTTATTTTTATTAAAGATAATTACTTTTTTCACTTAAAAAGTTGTAACAAATTTTAACAATTTAGAGTGAATAAATGAATTATCAAAATTTATTATAAGTGTAATACATAAAATTTGTATGTAAATATATCCCTCTTATAAAAATATAATTAAACAATACTAATTAAATCACCTAATATTATATCTCTGATTTGTTTGATATACTGGTATACATAGTGATTATCCAACATAAAAATGAAGAAAAGAAACCACCTATACACGAAGAAGCAACGATCTAAAGTTATATATACATATATACATCAAAAGATTACAAAAAGCCAAAGAAAGCTTAATAAAATGAATTTTGAATAAAAATAATTAATGTAGCTATATCTATAGCCGGGGATCAAGAAAAGAGTACCTCTTGCCAACGCTCAAAGCTGAAGGCGG